GTGTAAGCATGTTAAAATATAACTTTAAAATAAAGTCAAAATTAGCCGACGGAGTTTAAACGAAAGTTGTAGATTACTTCGCCAATTACGCGTGGATATAAAGAACGTCAAAGAGGGAGCTCGTATGTGAAACTTACGAAATTTAGATGTTTATGGGTTAGAACGCGATAGGACACATGTATGCCCCGCGCGGCTGGCATTTTGCCCCGCGCACTCGCATACGCGGTCCCAGCCTTCTCCACGTCTCCCCATCTGAAAATCGACACTTGCCCCCTCATACACGCAGTGTAGGCCTCGTACGCGCAGCGTACTCCGAGGTTACGCTCAGTGTAAACTGAGGAGTCCAGCCTATAAATAGATGTGAGGGCACCCTCATTTCTTCACACGTCAACCCTTCTATCTCTCTTTAAATGCTCCCAAACTCTCCTCCCCTTCCCTAGTACTTCAAAAGTGCTAGAGGAGAGTCCCGGAGCGCCAAAAGGCTCTGAGAAAAGAGCTTTCTGCTCAGAAGTTATGCCCGAGTAGAGCCCTGTTCCTAGCTAAACTCCATTGTAAGTGAGTTAGGCTTACCATTGTTTAGGTATAACTTATATTTAAGTTCATTATCGTTATTATGAACTTATAAGAAATATATTTGCTAAGTATAATTTATAAAAAGTTTTATTATAATACCTTTTAACTGCTCGTGGTACGGGGAATCTGGTTTGAAGGGCCGCATAGGGTTGTTGGATTTCAGAACAGCTTAAATGCCAAAATGGTCCTGCCCTCTGGCGTTTCATGTCTGGTCCCTGTCTGTACATAGTGGTTGCAAAGTATTGTTTAACACTTATGAAACAATATCGCTCGTAAATAGTCGCAATAAATATTAGACTAAAATCTAGTGGTAATAATACTAGGTTTCGTCAAAAGAAATTGAAATTGCTAGAAGCGAAGCGCTGCCCGAGTTTGGAGCCATCACTTTAACAAGTGAGTGCATAGTTCCTTTCATGAACATGATTTTAATACAAGTATTGATTAAAGCATTATATATATATATATATATGCCTGTATGTGAAATATTTGTTATTGCCTGAAATACGTGTTAAGAGCATATCTGATAATATATGATGATTTAGGAGACAAAACAAACCTAAATTAATTGAAATGGATATCGGGTAGTAATCGCTGGATTAGGTGTCTAAGCCCATAAATGTAATTGGTATGTACTTGATTTGATAGTAGCATGGTCCTTTTGGGTTGCATTCAGCCTAGCAACTTGACATGATGATTTTTGGAGAGAGAGGTTGAATTTATTATTTGGAATAATAAATTGATTTATTAATTTATTATGAAAATAATATATTAATTAGAAATCATGTTATTTAATTAGTATTTAATCAGAAATTAATTTGGAATTAATTTTGGAATTAAAGGAACTGATTAAAAGAACAGGGACTGTTTTGCAAATCATTGATAGTTGTGAAACTGGGCTGATGGACTCCTTAATTAGGAGTGGTCGAAACTCTATAAGGAGGCCCTAGAGATTTCGTCCAAGGCTTATTAGTGGGAGGTCCATAGGCTGCTTGAGCCTTAAGCACGAAATTAGGGTTTCCTCCAGAAACCCTAGCAGCCCTCAACTATATAAAGAACCCATGGCTTAGGATTTTCGCCCAATGCTTGCATCCAGAGAACCCTAGCAGAAATTCTAAGAGCTTCTTCCTCTCTCCTTCTCATCTTCTTGCTAGTGGTGTTTGTGAGCCATTTGAGGTGCAACATTTCAGGCACTAAGCTTTAAAGAGTCAAGGATCTACAAGGAGTTCTTGTTATTACTACATAACAAGCAATGTAATCATCTAAACCCTTTTGTTATATGATTTTCGAAATTATATTCTAGATCTAGGGTTTATTGCTTTGGTATTTAATTACATGTTCAACTAGTGAAAAACTTAGATCCAAAGCAATTAGGGTTGCATGATCACATAGGATGTAGTTATGCTCATAACCGATCAGTACCTACTTATGAGTATGGGTGAGATATACACGGAGGGTCAAACTTTAAGATTTGTCATTGATCCGAGAGCATGGAGTAGACATAGTCATTTGTCCTTAGTCCGAGAGTATGGAGAGGACATAGTTATTTGTCATTAATCCCGGAGCATGGATTATACATAGTCAATTGTCCCTAGTCCGAGAGTATGGAATGAGAATATTTATTGATCCGAGAGCATGGATTAGACATACCTGATCCGGGAGTATGGATTAGGTAAAGAGGTTAATTTTAGATCCGTGAGTATAGATCATGTCGTTGTGAGGATCGACAGGGTGGGGTAAAATTGCTTATATGAGGTGAAATTGTATATATTGTGAGTTCTAAGACACACACACACACACACACATATATATATATATATATATATATATATATATATATATATATATGATATAACATTGTGGGATTGAAATCCCTATGTACTCACCAGGTTTCCCACCCTGAACCACTCAGTTTATTTGTATCACAGCTATCGATACGAGGACATATTACACTGAGAGATTAAAGGAGATATAAATCATTAGTGCAAATGAATGTAAGGTCTATTTATGTTATTTTTCTGTATTGACAATGACATCCCAAAGTTTTAATATAAACAAAATACATTTCTTCGGAAATGCTTTGATAATATATTTTTCATGTTTTCTAGGAACAAATTCCACAACATATTTCTTTAAAATAGATACTCTGATTTTTAATAAGCATAAATAAATTTTTTAAAATGACCGTGAATTTGGGGATGTCACACTCTGTTACGAAGGTAGCGGAGCTATTGGTTCTTTGTTCTTCATCAAATTTTGGTAAATTAGGAAAATATGGGATAACAGGTTTTAAGTGTTTTTATGATTTTTTTAAATGTATGAGTTGTTTTAGAGTTGATATAAGGATTCTAAGGTACTAGGTATTTGTAGGGAATCTTGAGAACATTATTCAATCTTTAACACTACTACAAAAACAACCTTTTACGGCACAGAATGCGTGTCGTAAAACGCTCAGACGACACGCAAATGCGTGTCAAGGAAGGCCCTGTCATAACGAAAGACGACACACTTTTGCGCGTCGTCTATTTACGACACACATTTACGACGCGCATTTATGCATTTACGCCGCTCATTTACGATACACAATGCGTATCAAGGAAGGCCCTGTCATAAAGGGAGACAACACGCATTTGCGTGTCATAAACATACGATGCGTGTTTATGACACACAATGCATATCAAGGAAGCCCCTGTCATAAATGAAGATGACATGCATTTGCGTGTCATAACTTCAGCTGCTAGTGACGATACACATTTACGACGTGCATTTACGATATGCATTTACAACATGAATATACATAACAAAAAAACAAATATATACCTAAACATTCAATTCCATCTAAATGTCAAACAACTTACCTAACATTACATGTCAAACAAGTTACCAAAACATTCAATTTCATCTTCTAAAATACACAACCAAACTTCATAAAACAACAGTTATACACGCACCCACCCGCCAACCATAACAACTCTTATTTTCTTCTCATGTAAGGAAACACTTTAACGAATTTTAAGAAAATGGTAAAAAGTTACCCAACACAAAGATTCTAACAAGCAGCTTGATCATGCTCCAAAAACTTGTTGATAGGAAGGATGTCACTGCTTTGATAATAAAGAACCTATAATAAAGGTCAAGACAAGGGTATTTACGTCTTTTTCACCAACAAGAGAACAAGAACAAGCCATTAAATGGGGCCCACATATCTATTTCTAACCTGGTTGCCAAACATTGACATTTGACGTTTTTCTCCTCCGAATGACCTTACCTACATGCACCAAAAAATAATGATAATTTGAGATTGAGATTGAAGTTTACCTTTTTTTGGTCTTAATGATATATGACAATTATTAAATTTTATGGGTAAAATTGTAAAAAGAAATGAGTTGAGAACTCACAGTACGGATGGCAGAAAACGTTTCAGTGATACAATCGGCTATTGAAGCTTGAGTCAACCCATATGCTTTCAATACTTTCACAGTTGATCGTTTGTATACAGCTGGATACATACATATACACGTGTATATATTAGTCAACAAGTAAAAATATGAAGAAAGGTTAAAAACATTTTAATTTCTAAAAAATAAGGGTGGATTAGGGTTCTTACAACCTAAAATGATATCTTCATCACAATTCCATCATGAACAATAAAAAACCATAGAATTCTTATTGAAAGTTAGGTAAAATTCTTATTGAAAGTTTAGGTAAAGCATCTGTAACCCTATCTTTTCTTTCTCCAACTTCTGCCTCACTAGCCCCTCCAATCTGGATTATATTTTATTTTTAATCAATACAATTAAAAAAATTACCAAATGGTTTAAAATATATCTTACAGAACTTACAACTTAATTCCTCACATCTTTCTTCAATTTGCTTCTTATCACCACCACCATATAGAATGATTGTATCATCAAGAGAAACAATAACCTAGTACACACACAAAAATTAAATCCTAAATACAAGGTTTAGTAAAAAAATCACAATAATTAGTTTGGATTTTTTTGAGGTAGTTATTAGGGAAAATTTCATTTAGGTCCTTGTAAACTGTGAATATTACATCAATATCCTTATAAACTTTAATATTACGTCTATATCCCTCTAAAACTATAATTAAAAGAAGTTATGAAAAAGTGAATAGATGTTAAAGGAGCAAATCCGACCATGAAAAAGTGAAGACGAGGGAATGGGATGCAAGCTTTCGGAGGTCAGAGTTGAGTTGATCGGGAAACCTCAGACAACAGGTCACTCCAGACATTGTTGCAAAAATGAGATGGTTTAGATCACCAACTGTAACAAGAAGTGGATGTTATTAATGGGAAACATAAAGAGTGTTTTAGTTTGAATTTTGAAGAGACTTACAACTTGGGGTGGTGAGTTTGAGAGTTCTGAAGTAGATGTCATACAGATCCTCGTTATCAGATGCATAATTCTCACCACATGAATGTGTCCCCATGTAAAAATTTAGCAGGTGGCTCCGACCCTTTCGCCTCTTTTAACAACCAAAACAAATATACATATCATGTAAAAATATAAAAATGGACTTTATTTCGTTTGCTTGTTATAGAAACACAAGGGAATTGAAATAGAGAAGAGACCCTTAGAGTTTGACTTTGACTTGCTGCTGCTGTGGTTTGACACAGTTGACTTATCCTTCACTTGCTTCTTAGATGCCCTTGACACAACTTCAAAGATTGTTGGGAGATCATTTATCATGTTGAAAAGACGCTTCCTACATATTCCAATTTGGTGAATAATAAGAACCATTATACATTTAATGGAATCTTGAATCATGAAAAGTAATAAAAGAAAGAAATTTAAATACCATAATACCTATCAGCTTTATCAAATCCAATCTAGCCCCAAAATAGAAGTCAACAGAAAGAAGCCATGCATCACCATGAACAACAACTAAAGCTAGCCAGTCCTTTTCTGGCATTCCATCTCTAGCAAAGTTAATTCCAAGTGCAGGTTCCGGAAGCTCTGGTGGACAGATAGTGTGGCGTTGTAGGGTTCAACAACAGTGTCTGAGACCTTTGGAGATGGAAAGACTGAGAAGGTCATCATCATCCAGTCAGGATACTCTTCTCTGATCTTTGAAATCAGAAGAGTACCCATACCAGACCCTCTTCCGCCTCCTTGAGAATGGCACACCTGGAAACCTGTAAATAAAATGTCAGCACCACCACCAGATCAGGAGGAGGATTTATCAGCACCACCAATAGCCATCACATTGCTCATCTGCACCAGAACCAACCAATAGGATCCTTGAATCAGACTTATATTTAACCTTTGAATTATTATTTCAATTTATTTCTTCACTCACACACCCATCACCACCAGTTGCCAACCACAAGCCAATCCTAATATTAAGATCCCGTAACACCAAAAATAACATGAAACCTTACAATAAAATTAAACTTTAAAAAAATGTGCAATTAACAAATCTATGTACCATTCACAAACAGATACTGAATTTTCATGTAGAAAAAAAAAACATTTTCAAACTATGAGAGATACCCATGTGATCTAAATACCTTCTGAACTCTGTGATCATTTAAGAAAGCTATCTCTATCTCACTGCACATTGATTCATAAAGAAAGTGGAAGGGTGCTAATATAAAGGAATTTACCTGAAGTGGAAGGGTGCACCCACTGCATGATTACAACAATGTTATTGTTACCAATTAAATTCATCAACACTTGATGTATAAAGGCTTCTAGGAGTTAGTGATCAGGATGTGTTACCTGCATGCTAAGCAATTCTTGAGTGATATTTTTACTGGACCTGTTTGAAGAGTTTCTTTAGCAGGTGTTGTTTTTACCAGCTTCTATTCAAGAAAAATCACTTGATGAATAACAATAGTCATGTGTGTATGTATTTAAAGAATAAATAAGTGACAAGACACGTTTTGTCTCCATGGTCAATTTCGACAATTTTGCATCTATCTCTACTAGATTCCATCTGCATTCAAAAGTTGTTTGTATTATGAAAGAACTACAAGAAATTCAAAGTCAGAGGGTAATAGAAAAAAGTCAAAACGCCAATTACCTTCTCAAAGGGGCGATTTTTCTCAGCTCTTTCACACCCGCCATAACAGAGATTCTATCAGGAGGTAATTCACCATCAAAACTTACATTCAACAAATCGATTTCAACTGCCAAAACATGTATGATAAGATATTAAGAACGGTGCATAAAAAATAAAAAGAAAATCCCTAAACCAGTTCTTATTATACTGAACATAAAGCTAATCACACTTACATTTTTGAATCTAGGTACTAACATAAAGCTAATCATACACATTGTTGTTGAATCATTTAAAAGATTCAGTGACAAATATATTCACTAACATACAAAAGTTTAAGTCTATCATTAACCTTCCATTTACAGCCAATTACAAGATGAAAAGAGGAGACTAACTAATAGAAGAGATAAAAGAAACTCATTACCATTTGTGGACTCATTGCATGAGAAAATACAACGTACAACTCTATAATGCAGGAGGGAGACCCGAGATATGTCATGTGTAATTTTGACTACTAGTAAACTATTTTTCTTGCTCTCTGTTTGAAGTATGATAAATAAAAACCCTAGGTTCGCTCACAATTTGTCTCAGAGAACTGTAGTGAACTATCGATCTAAACCAAAATAGAACAAAATGTTGCTTTATTTTTGACTAATAACTATAGATGAACATGAAATCGAAAGAAAAAGAAAACCTAGATCATCAATAAGAATGGAAGATTGACCTGACCAATTCGATACCAGAGATGTGAATCAAAAGAAGCAGCTATGAGGATGACTTGAGGGAACTTTGTACAGGCGGTGATCGTTCCATTAAATCTCACACCCTTTCTGTGTCTAGAAATGTCGTGCAATGCCTCCGACCACCACTCGTAAGTGGAGATCCCAAGGCGAGGAATCCCCGACGCTCTGTGAACCAACTACAAAACTTTCTCGTCTAAAGTAAGTCGTGAAACGACGTCGTGAGCGCGGGTTGGAATCGGTAATTTGACGTTGTAGAAGGGATATAGCGGTGTAGGTGCTGAAGGGTCGCATGAAAATGGAGGTTGGGGCGACTCCGCCAAGACGATGATCGTTATCATCGTCGTCGGGAGGCATTTGATCACGAAAGCAAGAGCAATTCTGCTATGAGGACGAATGCCCTAGGGCTTTTTCTTGCTAATTGGAAGAGGCGGGGGTTTTAATTTTTGGGATCCAATAGCCGGGTGAAATCCCGCCTTAAAACACGTGTTTCATTAAAAAATTATAAAGCGACATACTTAGATGACACACATTTTATGAAAGGCGCCCTCCACATTTCCTTTTTTTCTTTCTTTTCTGACACTAATTTTAGGGCACGTACAAATGCGTGTCCTTTATCCTTCAAATTTTACAAAACTGACATTATTTTTTAGGGCACGCACAAATGCGTGTCCTCTATCGGCACGTGTCATTGTTTGCGCGCCATTAAAGGTCTGTTTTCTAGTAGTGTAAAACTTTCAATCATTGTAGTTTTTCAAACTCCTTGCTCAAGGTTGGTTGTGCACCAGCCCGACCATATATAACATAGGCGCGCGTTCTAGGTTTATTTGTGGTATGGCTTATGTACGATACTATCCTTAGTCGAGGCGTTTGACCTAAAGGGTTGAGTTGGTAGTTTTAGTTGAAGGGATGTTTAAAATTTTATTAAGTGTTCTCATCGTGGGTCAGAGTATAACTCTTATATATTATTGTTTGTGAGGTTTGTAGTATTAATGGTTTTTTTTGTACACCAAGATTATCAAGTTTGGATGAGGGCCAGACAGGAAGCACCAGAAGGCAATATCATTTTAGCAATTAAGCTGTTCTGAAATCCAGCAACCCAAGCGGCCATTCAAACTAGTTACATCTCCCATAAGTAGTCGAGTAGTAGGGTAATTAATAATAATACTTTTATTATGAGCTTGTTGCTATAGTTGTATTCCTCTTTCGAGGATATGAGTTCTCTATAGCCAATTTAGCTCCGATACGAATATGTCACACCCCCGGCTGAGGCGAAGGAACATGTCAGGCTGTGTGACTTAGTTGATGGATCATAGGTAAACTGAATATATAGCACAAGTACAACAATAAACAAAACATCATTTGTATTACATCTTGATTTTTGAATACATGGTTCTTACAGATAACAATATGGTACATGAATTGCCTTAAACAGGTAGGCAGACATAACAAAAACTAGTAAACTAGATTGCCTGAAATCCATGACTATCCATCATCTGAATGGTAGATTATTGATTCCCTGAGAATACATGTAGTTTTGAGGGTCAACACAAGGTTGGTGAGAGTTACATGTTTTCTGCTAACAATAGTAATGATACTTTTAAAAAGTCAAAAAGTATTTCCATTATAAGTATAACCATACTTAAAATTGTGTTTGTAAAGAATCTTCGAATAAACTTTGAGAACAAAAAGGTATCTTTGCATAAGTAAATCCATACTTAAAATAGTTTTTAAAGAAACCAAGCCTATGGTTTGTAGTGTGTGTGTGTGTGAGAGAGAGAGAGAGAGAAAGAGAAAGAGATTCTGGTTAATGTTTATAGTGAGTCCTATAACCGAGCTATGTGACTGAATGTACCCCCTACAACACATAATTATACTTCGTAGTAACAATAGTAGATACTTATCACCCGCTTCGATTGATCGTTCGAGGTTGTAGCTAGCAACCACAAGTGGGGATGTCAACCCCGTATAGATCTATACATATGTATCTGTTGGAACTTGAAAGTGAACCTCTAGCAATCATAAGTACATATTCCGAAGTGTGTTGGTTCCGAAAGGAAAAGTAATACGGAACCTGTCCGGAGCTGAAGAAAAGAAGAGGAGGAGTATTTTGAAGAGGAACACATTCCGGAGCTAATCTTTATGTCCGAAATGTATGCTGATCCGGATCAAACTTTCATCTCCGGAATAATACTTGTCCGGAATGAAGTCTTTCTGTCTTTTGTGCATTTATTACTTTTGTCTTGTATTTGATGTAACGTTTCATAGACTTAGTCTAAAGTTGCTTTAGGACAATCAGAATGTCAGACTTATGTCTTTTGTCCAGTCTTATGTAAACACTTGGGTTAATTCGCTGTAACATTTACTCCTTTAAATAGGAGCTTTCAATACAAGTCAACTACGGATCTTTCACTTACTTTTGGCATTTAGTCTTATCACATTAAAACATTCTTCTTGTTCTTCAATTATTAACTTTACCTTGATCATTGACTACTTGTTCTCAATTAATGTCTTGATCATTTATTGAACTGATTATCTAAGACTTGATTGGTCTTTCCAGTCTAGACTTGAACATCCATTATCAAGCAGGCATTGATCTCAAGCATTCACTCAAGGTTTGAGTTTTCAAACCTTGTCCCTGCGCATAGATCTTGTTCTCACAATTGGTATCAGAGCTTGAGTGGTTGTCCTTTGAATCCATAAGATCAGATTATAGTTGGTTTGAATTTACCTTGGTATTTCAACCATTTCTGTGTTAAGGATAAAAGTTCTTCTATATACCACTTAAGCTTGAAGATATTTGACTTCAATCGCTGCTTCAAATCCTCAGCAAATGATTTCAATGCAAATCGCAAATAGCGTGGGGAGCCCTACACGTGCCCCATTGCTAGTTGTGGAAGAATATGATCATTGGAAAGTTAGAATGGAAAGGTTTTTACTAGCCAAAGAGAAGGGTGAACAAATCTGGAGATCCGTCAAAGAAGGCCCTCATGTTCCCTTAAGAACAATTGTAAGAGATGCAGCTGCTCAGCTCATGCGAGAGGATGAAGCTCGTCCAGCCCCTCTAACTGCAGATGATATTGAGAAGCTGCATGCTGATCAAGTTGCCTTCTCAGAAATGGTGTTTGGTGTTCCTCCATCACTCTTTGAGCATATAAAGCTATGCAAATCAGCCAAAGAGATTTGGGACACTCTTCAGGATCTGATTGAAGGTTCCGAAAATATGAAGGACAAGCGCCTCACCTCGGTTGTCAATGACTTTGACACCTTCACCACTACTCCATGTGAATCTGTAGCCTTAGCCTCCAACCGATATCGAATCATTGTCAATAACATGACTGCTCATGGGATTGTTCGAACTCCTCTCGAGTACAATCTTAAGTTCATTAACAGTCTTGGTAAAGGATGGGGAAACGTAAAATCCTGTCTTCAAAGCAATGGTTCCTTGAAAAAATTAAAACTCTATCAACTTTTTGATGAGCTTCAAGGACATGAATCAAACGTTTCTCAAACCATAAGGGAACTTTCCGGAGGTCCACTTGCTCTCGTCAATTCTTTTGAATCAACTATTCCGAACTCACCTGCTCCGGAACCTTACAAACCCACTGTTCCATTAACTCAGTCATCCTTAACCACCTTACCCACACACATCTATCCTGACGATGATTCCAAAACCTTGGATTCCGAACTCCGTTTCAAACAAGAGTTCGCCTTACTCTCAATGAAATACAAACGTCCTTTCAATCCCTCTTACAAACCATACCAAAACAGATTTAGTGCTCCTAACCAAACCCATCCTCAACCATATTCCTCTCCAGAACCAAAACAAACCTCCAAAAATCCTCCTGCATACAAGCCTAACCTCACTAAACCAAACTCTGCTCCGGAATCTTCTCAAAATTCCAAATCAGACAAACCAAAGATCTTGTGTCATAAATGTGCTCATGCAAACCACTTTGCCAAAAATTGTCTAGCTGATGCTCCACAAAAACCAAAAGTCAAAGACTCAGCTTACTATGTCCGAAGAGCACAAGAAATGGCTGAAAGTGAGAAGGCATTTGTTACTACGGTTTCAAGAGATGTCGAAGGATGTTGGTCATCCAGAGATGATGATGATTTGGTGACTGGAAGAAACATGTGTTTGATGGCAAGACAAATGGTTGACTGTGGTGAAGGTTATTGTTCTTCTGGGTCCGAAGATGAAGATGATGTTGCTGAACCTCACTACTAATACATGGCCACTAACGATCCACCTGGTCGAAGCATCGTTCAGTAGGTAAAATCCATGATCTCAGATAATAATTTTGATTTGACTGTATGTGAACCTTATCTGACCCATATCCAAACAGATGTGAACACCATCTATAAAGCCTATGAGTCTGCCATAGAAGCCAGTGAGAAGAAGGACTGTGAACTAAGTCGTCTTAGATTACGTTTTGAGGATAAGAAATTGAAAATCGAGTCTTTAGAGCATGAACTTGTAATGTCAAAAGATGAATGTATCATTTTGAAAGATAAATGTGAAATCACTTATTCTAAACGAAATATTTTGATTTCTGATAACAAACTTCTCAATGCTAAAATACATGCTTTGCATAACTCTATAGACATACTTGAAGCTGACATTCGGATGACTCATAATTTTCGTCATCCATGGTCCAAAGCGCCTGGTCTCGGAAGCGAGTTTCCGAAACCAATTGTTAGTCCCCTGAAGGAATTGCAAAATTTGACATTCATGGGAGAAGTTCCGAACATCAAACATTCAGACACCACTGTTTCGCCCTTGTCACCTCTTCCAGAAACTAAAAGACCTTTTGAGTCCCTAATTCCTGAGTTTAAACCAATAGTTGTCAAGTGTCCTGATTCCACGCCTCTTCCGCCTCTGATAAACCTGGACCTGAATCGGACCACAAAATATCATTATAGTCTTCCAAATTGTGTAGACTATGTTCCTAAAAGTAATCACGTGAACAACTGTGTGATTGAGGAAATTATTCCGGAAACAACTGAAATCAATGCCTCGGAGTTTGTATGGGCATCTTTAGATGATAAAGTTGAAGTCTCAAGCCATGTGTCCTCTGATTCATGTGAATCGGACTCCTTAGTGCTTTCAAAGACCAAATTAGTTCCCATTACTCCTGAGTTTACAAATCCATCCAAAGGACAAACTTCTAGATCCTCTCCTCATTCTAAGAGAAAACCAATGTTGAATAGGAAAGATGTTGTAGATCCCAAGGTAGAAGCTAGAAATGCTTAAAAAAAGGAAGTCAAGACTAGACAAAATTTCAGGTTCCTTGCCAACTCTAAACCAAATTCATCCCAGAATTCTCGTGTCTCCACTCATAGTCAAAATTCTT